AGGCACCATGGGATCCAGCCAGGTCTCCGTGAGCGCCAGCACACAGCAGTTTGCGATGTCCCGCTGAAAGTTAATCCGTGCGTGTAGTTCGTCCATTTTATTGTCCAGGGATTGAACATTTGCGAGCAGAATGCTCGGCAGCGGGGGATTGCAGCATCTCGTCCGAGATCTGCAGAGGATACCGGCGCGCTTCCCTCTCTTCTTTCTTCTCCGTCGGCGTATTGGTAAACATAGRGGCGGTAGAACAAAGGGGCCGCAGCAAGCACTCCGGTAAGTTGAGAAAAACTCCGTATTTAGCGAAGAGCGTATATCCAAAAGTGCGAGTCGATCATACTGTATGAGCAAATTCTAACGTACGACAGTAACTGACAGAAAGCATCAGACACCGTACACTAGCACAGAACATATCACTGACCCGAGGTGCCCCTCATCTGCACAGAGCACGACTGTAAGCATCAGCAGACTGTCTCAGCAGACTGTCTCAGCAGACTGTCTCAGCAGACTGTCTCAGCAGACTGTCTCAGCAGACTGTCTCAGTCAGGGCATATGACGTGTTGATAGTCCAAGAGATGAGACCACATTGCTCCTGTTTACGCCTCTTCACACTCAGATGTTTTAGATTTGACTGGTTACTTTAAAGGCTCTTCATTGCCTATGTCCATCTTATATATCAAACCTTTTAGTACAGTACTCACCAGCTCATACCTTGCCGTCTGTCTGTCCCAGACTCCTGAGTGAGAGAACAGTGCCTTTGCAATCATGATGATGAGGATGTGGTGGATATGATAATAAATGCAGGTGGTGATGAACAATGATACAGTGTATCTTTCATCATGACACAGATCACATCATTACATTTAAAGCAGCAGTGTTAATTCATATTTTGTTAAAGACTGTGGCTGATTGTAAGGTTATTTTCCAATCGTGTGTGTTTGTGTTCACAGCTGCTGGAGCTTGGTGAGAACTATACACCAGAAATATCAGAATACAAGGTGAGCGGAATCATTTCTGCTGCAATAATCTAAAATGACTGGTGTCAGAAAGTGGGTTGAAGAGAGTCAGTCTCAACCATAAAGCCAACCATGTTACTGTGCATTTTAGGAGGGAAAGATTGTGAGCTTCGACCTAACAACCAAACAGATTGAGCTGGAACTCCTTCATGCCTCTCAAGGTAGGGCTCATTTTACTACTGACACAATGTTTCTTAATAATAACTTTTTTTTGACACCTTGCAAAGTTGAGTCGTTTCTCCTTTCGTCACTTTCTGCATCTCTCTCAGCTCCTGTGGAGCCCGGAAAGTTCGACCTGGTCTATCAGAACGCTGATGGCTCGGAGAGCGTAGAGTACGCTGTGTCCAGAGGTGCTTGGGTAAGCCTTTGCAATGTAGCTACTGTAACAATGACACAGGCTGTTAGCACAAGCAGTGGAATGCAAAGACACTGTTTTGTCTTTGAGCCCAGTTCATGGCCCTTTTCTTCTGAGTCAGCTCATTCACCCATCATCCAAACAGGAGAAAATCAGTTTAACATGCGTCTTTTCTTCTCCTCCGCAGGTGACAGAGCGGTGGGATTCCCTACTGGAACCAAGGCTGATCATTTAAATCAGACATGTTTTTACATTCACCTGATCCTGCAAGAAGGATACGCCTTTTTATCCAATTTGCTTTATTTCAAGTTAAATTGGGAGTAAAATTTCCTCATGATATATTTTAGCTAAAGGATATGATATTGGAAGGGATATGATTAAGATTGATTATATCCCCTTTCCTTTAGTTTTTAAATTCTTGCATTTAAAATGTGTTCGGATGTAAAATTAGAGTTATTTTAATATGAAGGTGGAAGGACTGATTGTTTCCAGGGTTGGGACACACTGCTTTTGTTTTTTATACAATGATGTGACAGTGGATATCAGTCTTGTTTAAACTGTTTTCTAATAAAAAATCGATTCAAAACTAGATTTGATGTAAATTATTATTTTATCACTACAAAAGATCAGTTGAAATGGTGGCGATGGTAGAGATACAAAATAGTCATAATAAGTCAAGAGATCCATAACATTTCAAAATGTCCTAATTCTGTATTTACTACATGGTAATAGCAATGTTTTTGCAGTTAGTATGTAAAACATATTTATACTAACATGAAGTTATACAGATGACATGCAACATTAGAGTGACCAGGGCCCAAAACAAATGTGGCTGTGTCATTGACAACTCTCTTGTCTCGGCAAGGTGTAGTCTGGATGTGAATGTAAAGCGGCCCATGTGAGAAATGGTGAATATGGGCCCTAATATTACAAAAGAAATTCAGGACACCTTCAGCCACATCTGGCAAACAGGAGCTGATCCTAATCGTGGTGGCAGCTGATCATGAGCTATGTTTACAACAAGACTGCTTGACATACAATACGTCTACTCACATACTCTACCATTACTGATAATAACTCCCCTTTTCATTTGTCAATGCTGCTCCCTTCATCTCTATTAGACATTTTTTATGGATAAGTACTTTAAACATTAACACACTTTTCCATTATGTTAAAAACGGTTTCTTCTAATCAATGCTGTAAATTCCGTTATTTTGTTGATGTGTTCAGTTACACAGCATCTTTGTCCTGGGGGACGGATCCCTCATGTGTTTTCCACCTGTTAATAGGGTTTTTGTTGGTAGCTTTTCTTACTCTTGTTGAGGTATAAGGACAGAGGATATCGCAGGGATAGTTCATCGAAAAATGAAAATTCACTCATTATCTACTCAGGTGTGACGTGTTTGAGTCCATAAAACAATTGGAGTTTCAGGGGTAAAAAGCATTGCAGCCAAATCCAATAATAATAGAGAAGTCGATTTTGAATACGGGGGCTTACAGACACTCGGATGACACCACAGATGCAGCATGGAGGCATTTTCAGTTTTTGTCTGTTGAAGAAGGAGTCTCTATGCCTGCAACACTGTTTTCCTCTGAAACTCCAAAAGTGTTTTGTGGACTCAAACACTTCACCCACCCCTCCATCGCATAGTGGTGAGTAGATGATGAGGGAATTTTCATTTTTCAGTGAACTATCCCTTTAAACCCCACGAGACAAATTGTGATTTGTGGATATGGGCTATACACTTAAAGACTGATCGATTGACTGATTGATTGATTGATTGATGGATGACTGATTGATGGATGACTGATTGATGGATGACTGCAGAGGTGCCGCCCCTCCTCAGGTGTGTGTGGGCCGGATGAGGAGTCTGGAAAACAATATTGCACTGTGGGAAGCCGGAAGTGACGGGTGGTTACCGTGGGAACACGCCTGTATTATTAATTGGCATTTGGCCTGTGACGTAAACGCCTCGTCTCCAAATCGCAGCGCATCGTTCTTTTCCGTGACTTCCCCCCGAGCCAGCGACGCTGTCACAGCCCCCCCCTCCCCACAGGCTTGAGGTCTCGGCCGCAGCGGTTGTTCGGAGCAGCAGAGCGATGGTGTCCGCGGTCTCTCCGGTTCTCTCACCGTCCATCTAACGAGGACACGCAGGTTCTCCCCTCGACGAGGCCGCGCTCTGCAATGGAAGGCCACGTTTTCCCGGACCAGGAGCAGCTGCTGCAGTTCCTGAGGAGGCTCAAGGAGGTTTTCGACGTGTGTGACGAGGATGCTGACGGCTTCATCCGGGTGGAGCACCTGGTGGACCTCGGTGTGCAGTTCGGACAAGGAGACGAGGTGAGACCGGAGCCCACAGCTTCCCCCCGCGCGTCCTGTGCTCAAACTGGCTTCCACACGGTCCATCAGAGACAAGTGTGTGCTTTTAAACACACGACCTGTCCTTGAATCAGTGAATCTGTGTGTCATCCCTCTCACGCCAGCCAGCAGCGGGTATGTCAGGCTGCTGTTCCAGATCAAACAGATGATCTGTCATTTCGCTTCCTCCACATCCAGCCGACATGTGTCCTGTGTGTTCCATGTGATTTAAACACGAGGAACCAGAGGAAGAGCAGGTTGCAAACACATCAGGCTCACAACTGTAGAAGATATCGTTTTTTTCTGATTTGAACCTGGAAGGAAAACACTGGTATCGACATTGAGGCTGGACGATATGGCAAATTATAATAAATAGAATAATTATCATGATAAATGTCACATTATTATCTCAAATTTCAAGACTGATTTTGCTCCAGAGTGAAAAGTTGTGGTTTTAAATGATTCTTCATGGAGAAAGAAAGACACACTTGATAAACACTCCAATCTGAGCTCGATCAATCATGTGTTAAACCTCCTCACTGTGTTTGCACAATGCACAAGCAAGATATCGATAGATGATATATGTATAAAATATTGGACTTTTGTTATATTGCTATATTGATGGAAATTATATTGCGTTAATTATTGATGATGTTTTGTTTTCCAGCTGTAAAGACGACTTAACAGTGATACGTTAATGCTAACACACCCTCACTTAAAATGAAGTCAGTATTTAGTTTTGTTATCAGTGGTTATTATGTGGTTGATAATATCAGAACAAAGGCTTTTGGCCATACTGTTTTTAAAGTGGTAAATGGCTTTACGTTTCCATGGTTGTAGGTCACTGTGGGTTGTTTCACACATACTATAGGCAGTATTTGAATTCAAAAGGTTTTGCATGATACCACTAAATTTACTGCTATCATCCTCTACCACTGGCAGTTTCACTTCTCCCAGAATCCTCAGCGACCATAATGCAATGCAGACTCATGACATCCAGGTTCCTGATTTGTTCTGACTAGTGCCTTGCTTTGTCTGTTGCCGAGGATTTACCTCTTTTTTTGTAGCCGTGGCAGATTAAGGGTTTGGAGTGATGCTGTTGCAGTTGTAATTGAACAGTTTTGGAAGATGAGCATTCTTTGGTCATCAGATTTAAATCAGACTTCACTTATTTGTCTGTGTGTTCCACTTCGTGACTGACTCCATGAGCCGGTCGATCAACAGCCACTGAAAAGATTTTAAATTAAAGTGCATTTCCCCAATCAGTCTATGCAAAAGGCTATAATCAATAGTATCTTCAACATCTACTGAGAGACCTGAAGATGTCAGCCCAAGATGCTTATCCAATCTTATCCAATCAGATGGACCTATGAGGATCCGTCCTGAAGAATGGGATAAATGACCCTGAATCTTGGTGTAGAGAGCTTCTAGAGAGAGACATAACCAACAAGACGTGAGCTGTCATTTCTGCCTAAGATGCTTCTACCAATGACTGGATTAGATTTCAGTGTACTCTGGGTTAAAGGTCCAGTGTGTAAGATTTAGGTGAAAGGGAACTATTGTCAGAAATTTAATGTAGAATAATCCTCATGATGTTTTCACTAGTTTGTTTCATCTAAATTGTATGAATTGTAGTTTTCTTTACCCCAGAAAAGGCCCTTTATATTTAAATACTTTATATTTACATGGAGGGGACCCTCTCTACGGAGGCCGCCATGTTTTTTACATTAGTCCAGACTGGACAAACTAAACACCTTTTGAGTTTTTATAACAACTGAAGCTGCCACAGGTTCTTTTTCATGTTTAGAAGGAGAGGGTGAGGTGAGGGGTGTTCAACTGCAACATGCAACTTCAACACTAACATACTAGGAGAGCATACTGTCCCAGGTCCAGGTTCTTCCAGGACGTTTTCTGTACGACTGATCCTGGGACATCAAGAGTCATTTATTGTTTGAATGCCTCCTATGATAGCTTCACATCACAGCCTAAGGATTTGAAGCCAAATATACTGTATAGATCTTGGTTATTTTAGAAGTTCTTGCTGAAAAACTCAAGGTCTTAACCAGTGTGTTTGGAAGGATTTCTGTGTAGAGGTGTTTGCACAGTTAAATCCTCTGTTACAGTTCATGGGTTGTTAAGAGAGTGTTTAGAGGAGCATTTAATTGTTAAAGGCCAGATTATTTTATGTGTGATGTAATTGTAGGATGTGTGTATGCTGACATTGTCTCCAGATTTGATCACTTCCAGTACGTCATGCAATCCAACCAGCAGTGACTTTGTTGAATACAGACATTGTCCAAATAAACACACTGAAGACACTCTTTTACCTCTTTTACACCAACATTAGCAGATGTTGTTGTGATATACGTGGGTAAAAAGGCAATTGACTCCTTTCCTGTTGCCAGTAGAGGAGTTTATCTTTCTGTTTTTTCCCTGGTGCATCATGTTTCATGTCACAAATGCGCAGAAACCTGAGGTGGTCTCTTATCTCACGATCTTTCCAAATTGGCATCTTGTTTCCAAAACCTGTGTCGACTGCAAATACATTTGAGTTCATTGCAGACAGAGGCCAGATGTTAGTGGAGTTTTCTGACGAGTGGAAAATGGGCTTTACTGTGTTAACATTGACAGCCAAGTTTTCAGATGCTGCTGTTTCAAGTTTATCTGTCTTATCCCAAATTTGGTGGTGGCTGTGACTCAGGATGAAAGTGAGGTGTCCATGAATCACAGTTGGTTGCTGGTTCGATCCCCAGCTCTTCCTGTGAAAGCATAATGGTCAGACCAGCACCTTCCCTGGTAGTTTTACTGTCATCGGTGTGTGTGTGTGTGTTGAAGAGGCCAAAAACAATAACGAAAATAAAGCTGTTTGAATGTACCTGTACCTGTTGGGCCAAATTATTTGAATCCATGTGTTAGAAATCAGGGGATGTTGGAAGCAATGATGTAGAGAATATGATGACGCTCAATCTTTGTAGTACTGTGGCAAAAACTGTGCACTTCACTGGTTTCAAATACACAAGCTTTCTTTTACATAAATACAACCACCAAATACCTCAGTTACATCGTTGTACCTGTACCTGAAATGGCGAGCAGTGTCACCTCAAGTAGGACTGCACCGATCATTCCACATAAATGATATCTAACCGAGAGTGAGGATTTTCCTTGAAGCTGTCATGGCGGCTGAACACCCAGAGCGCATCACAAAAAATAACTCAGCTGTATTAAAAGGACGGTACTTCTTTATCGTCCTCCTCTCCTCTCCTCTCCTCTCCTCTCCTCTCCTCTCCTCTCCTCTCTTCTCTGTGTTCTTTGTCACCATGGCGATGAGAGCTTCACAAGGAGTCTGAGCAGACTGGTTGGTGATTAAGTAATGGAATGATCCACAAGCTACTGAAAACTGCCTATGAGCCGATGCGCTGCACCAGTGCTGTATTTACATGTATTTCATCAGATAGTTTGCATCACCATAGAAACTGATGTGAGTGGTTGTGTGATTGGAGAGTTCACTGTACTGTCAGATTGCAGCATTCACTATGAAATAAGATCTTTAATCCTCTTGTTTTTCTCTGCTCCTACTGTGCACAAACACACACACATTCACTAGAGATGAATACAGTACAAATGCAATGTTTATCAGAGCACACGTGATGCATTCCATACAAATACTTATCTTTCTGTATTTGTTTGGTCATTGTCTTTTGTGGAACTCAAGCATGATGTGTTTTTTTTTCCTTTAGGGATCATCTTATGTTGTGGTCACCTCATTGACCAAGGCCCTGTACCAGGTACTCAGTTTCCCCAGATGGCAACCTTACTGAGGTCACTGTCATCCTGGATTAGGAATAGTTTTATACCATTGTCCTGACACATGCCTCACCACAGTCTTATCACAGAGGTCCACAGAGAGTTTCCTGGATGTAATAACTTGGTTTTTGTCCGGACGTGCACAGTGAATTGTTGGACCTTACATACACACAGGGGTGTGTGCCTCTCAGTCAGTTCACTTTGCCACATCTGAATTCCACTAAAGGTCAAGATTCATCTCAAGGAGAATTAAATCAAACAGAATGAACCTGAACACAGTTTGTAATATCACAGCACAGGATGTGAATAGATTTTTAATAATGTGTTATTGAGTGTAGAGTGACTGATGTCTACAAAATGTCAATTTTATGAAGAGCTCTGAATAATTACTGAAGCCACTGCTTCCTAGAGGTCTTACCAATCTATCACTCAGCAGTAGCTATCATTTTCTTCTGATATGCTGTGCAGTCCTTGTTCACGTTGCCAAGACAGTTCCATCTACTGACAGAATAAAGACAGACAGAAAAAGGAAAATGCTACATTTGAAATAAGTGTATTTTTATACAGAGAATTATGTTCAATAAAGATCATTGTCCTCATACTGCGTTTACTGATACCTGCATCATTGGCCCTGTTCAGGCCTGGTATTAACATCCATCCTGAGAGTTTTCATCTCTAGATGGATAAACACATACTTTATTTCTGTTTGCGAATATAAATGATGTTGTTTTTAGCCAGACTGACTTAACAGTGTCTGTCAGTGTGAGAGAACAGAGCCAGCAGGGGCTGGAATCAATGCACATAGCTTTACATTTGAGCAAAATCACTTAGGCCCAGGACACAATTGTCCTCACGCTACCAGAATGCGTCCCAGACCACTTCTGAATGTGGCCTGAGTGATCAGGTATAAAATGCTCCCTGCACTCAAAGCTGTCCACTTGTGATCAGAATCAGAATCAGAAATACTTTATGAATCCCCGTAGGGAAATTCAAATGTCATAGAGTTCCTGAGAAAGAGCTGATCACTCAGGACGAATGTCCAGGTCTCATGTGTCCATATTATCGAGACATGTGGGGCTGAGAATTGTGATTTTGTGTTATATAAATGAAATTAACTTTACCTGACTTCTGTCTCTTGCAGGTGAAGGCATTGACCAGACATCTGGATCCTAACGCTCATGGGAAAATCAACTTTAAAGACTTTTGCCATGGAGTGTTTGCTATCAAAGGTAAGAAAGCCAAATACTTGATTTAGTCTGTGTGTAATAAGCTATGGACACACTGGTAAGTGATCTTTGGACAGAGGCAGCTGAGCTGTCTTCATCTTTGTCCTGTGTTTGTGCTAAACTAAGTAACTTTTCCTTCACATTCACTTTACAGATGTGACTGTGAATGGTATCTATCCCCTTGTCTTACTCTTGACAATAAAGCAACGTGTTTTCCCCGAAATGAGAGAATATTGGGGAATAATCTTCCTCCAGCACTTTTCTGAAAGTGACATCATCTTTATCGCCTTAAAAGAAGGACATAAGGAGTAAAATGAGTTTAAGCTGATACCAGCTCCCTCCTCCGAACCAAAACGACAGTGGATATTTGGACTTACGGTGTGATATTCCATAAATCTGACTTGTTTTGGTTTAATTTGTCTTTGTATGTACATTACAAAATACCACAATTATCTTAAAGTCAATTCTGGACCCGTGACCCGACCCGTCACGCATGATTAAACACACATGCTGAGTTCTTGGAAAAGTATCTGTCTGAGCTCCTGCAGCTGTTAGTGTGTTTCCTCACTGACAATGTGCTGAGCTAGCCTGCGCCTTCAACTCGCTATTTGTGTCTTTATATCATCCATTTTGATTCAGTAGCTAGTTCTGTGTCTGTAGTGACACTGAGGAGAAGTGAAGGGTCAAAGGTGGTGACGTAAGGCCGCTGACTCGGCTTCATATAAGCTTATTTAGATGCTAGAAATATATCACAATTGTTGTAATTCCTCCAGAAAAAAAATACTTTAGTTCTCATTGCCTGCACACCCGCATTTTATTTAATTTATGACTGTACCTGGGAGTCTGAATAAATATATATTTTTTACTTATCACGCAACTTTTTTGTGGGTTACTCTACGCTCTGCTATTGTTCCCGGCTGCCTTACTTTCTCAGAACCACTGTGAATCAGTGAGATCATTAAACACTCCACAACAGCTCCTACGCTCCACCCCCACACCCCCTCCCTGTATGTTCAGGTGTAACCGACAGTTTGTCTGATAGGAAAGAATTTCACCAAGCATCTCTTGATGTTATTTAAGCCATTGCTTTTTCTCTCTCTCTCTTCCAGGTTGTGAGGAGATTCTGAAGATGGCTGTGGGTCCTAGGAGTGCAAGCTCCAACCAGCCGTCTGTCACAGACAATGGTTATGTTTACCAGGTAAAGTCAGCTCTCTATGAATTATTTTGTCTAAGTTTGGATATATATATATTTATACACACACAGAAACTGCACTGGTTGGCTGAGGCTTAAAATGGCAGTACGGTAATTCTAGATATATTTGCCTCCATATGAGCCTCCATTTATAGAAGCTATGTCTGGATTCCACTACAGCAGCATAAATGACAACAATATCTTTAAATATGCAAAATATCACAAGTTACTGTGTGTATGTTGCGGTACAAGACTGCTGATGTCTGCTAGAGATTAACTTTACTGAACTGTTGCTTAGCAACAAGAGAGCGCGAGAGAGGATAGCTATTCTCCATTTGGCCATGGTGGGGGGCTGCTTGTTATGTAGTGGTGTGTGGGGGAACCCTTTTAAATGGTGTGCTGAGGTATATGAGGTGACGACTGCGACCCTGAGCTTCATTAGCTAATGATGGGTGATAATCTAAGAGAATCGTTGGTAGCGGTCCTTGTTGGGATGAGATACCATAGAATGAACCAGTTGACACACACAGCACGTGTCACATCTAAATGGCACGCCCATCCAGCACAACCCAGCACCGTGCCAGTGGGCTGCACCCAGTGAGCGAGACGGAGGTGTGGCTTTGTCCCGGCTGAAGCATCAGTCTGTTTTCGAATATAAATGACTGAGCTGTGCTGAGAGAAGCTTCTGTTCAAGATTTCAACACACGGAGCCGTCAAGCTTCAGGAGGACGGTGGATTTCTGTGTATCTCAGTGCTACCTTTGTGATAAAGGATGCCAAGTGGTTTTTAGGAGGACACACTGGCTCTGGACTGGACCTGGCACATGTGGCTCACACACTTTTTTGGTAAGGTGTGCGTGCATGTGCACATGTGTGTTTGTAAGAGTGAGACTTGTTGTGTACCTTGCCATGGCCCATCAATTGGGTGTAGCCAGACAGTGGCATGCATAATTAATAACAGACTGATCTGGAGCATGCTACATCCCACGCTGTATGTGATAAATTAATCCAGGAGATCATCCAGGCCGAATACTACAAGGGTCCCATAGTTTTATTTATTCAGTTCAAAACATACTTAATGATACCACATCAAATGAAATACTGCTGTGCTGCAGCTTTTGTGAGGGGAAAAATAAGAAAGAGAAAAAAGCTGTGTCAGTTCAATTGCAGGTTTAAGTTGAAAACAGGATTAAACAGAACAAAAATCACTATTTCTGTGTCCTCAGAGTCTGTGGTTATGTGTTTTAGGTCATGCCAGGCTGCCATGTTCTGTTGAACTAACCTGAATGTCACTACAGGTAGTTTTCATCTGAAACTGCTGCAAATCTTGTTTTGCAGAGGTTAAGGTCAGAGAATGTCTGTAATTACAATTTATGTAATGATTTTTGAATGAGTCACATCTCTCTGTTCCTTTTTGACTCAGAAGTTAATAGTAAAACTGTGGGTATGAGTCACTGGCTGCATGAGTGGCATTCTCCTCCCTTACGCGATTTGCATGATACATTTTTCAAATGCCCTTTTAACGTCCCTTCTGCTACAGGAAACAAAAAACTCCAATCGAAAGTGATTTCCCTGATCCCACATGTTTTTACTCAGTGGCATTTGACATTGACTTGACCACTGTAGGGATCATTTCACGTCACTCAAGCTTTTGTGATATTAGTTTAATACATTTCTGCAAGTTCCACTCACACCAAACAAATCATCAGAGCCCAGAAGCCTCACCACACACAGATAAAAAGCAGGTGTTATTTGAATGCTGACTTTACTGTTATTACTTATTACTTCTTTGAATTTCTGTAGTATAATGATGCTATATCAACCTCGTCTGCACTTCAGTACCCTGAGATATCTTTGGTTTCTCTGCCAGTCGTGCTGTAGTTTTGCAAAATGTGCACACAATACAAATATTCAAACTCCTGTCCCTCTTCCTATTCAACACATTTGCTGACACACAAGTGTTTGATATTCTTGTGTTCCTTGTGTTTGTGTAGAACGGTGAGGCCAGGCTGCCCACTCCGATGATCATGTGCACCCGGTCCTTCCCTGAATGCAGTGTGTACAGGGAGGGTTGTGGTGCTGATGGGGAGTGTGACATGGACAGCAGCACTGAAAACAGCTTGGACTCTTTGCACCCAACAAGAAAAGACAGGTCAGTCACACATCAGGGGGGATGAGGCCTAGTTAGGGTCAGTTAGTTGGTTGTTCTTAGACTTTGTCAATCATCATTGTTGTTGTATTTCTAATCCCACCCAAGCCAACTCGCTGGCTCGGCGTCTGCGTCCGTCATCTCTGGTGAGGAGCAGTTTGAGGACTACGGTGAGGGGGAGGATGTGGATTTCATTCCCAGCAGCCCTTGCCCTGAAGAAGACAACCGAACAAATGGCTTCTCAGATCTGGGATCCTCGCTTCCCTCGAGGTCGGTGGTCTGGCTTTGTGCTCGATCTAAATCACATACCCACTGTTTGATTTAGCCTTTTTTCAGCAAATGTTTTCTTTTTTCCCACAATGTAATGGAGAAAGGGAGCGGAAAAGCTGCTTACAGCTGCAAAACATGAATTCATCAGTCATTCAAATTATATTTGTATGGCTCATTATCACAGGTCACAATTTTCATACTTAACAAGGTGTAACTACTTCTGCCCTCAACTCAACAAGAGAGAGCAAAAACTACAAAAAAAAAACCTCAGAGAGTCACATGTGAGGAATCCCTCTCCCAGGACAGACAGAGGTGCAATAGATGTAACACAGCACATCAACAACACAACAAGATTTACAACTGACACAGATGAAGGGAGCAGTAATGACAATTATAATGATCCACGGCCGTCCTGAGCCAGCTCTAACTATAAGCTTTATCAAAAAGCAAGGTTTTAACTATTAAATGTAAAGAGGTTGAATGGCCTCTAAAATTGAACCTGGGAGATGGTTATCGTTATTGGAATTATCTCACAGGAATTGTTATATTCTTTGTATTTGCAGTGCTGGGCAGACGCCCCAGAAAATGCGGCAACTATATAACAGTGAGCTGCTGGACATCTACTGTTCTCAGTGCTGCAAGAAAGTGAATCTGCTCAATGACCTGGAGGCTCGACTTCGAAACCTCAAGGCCAACAGGTAACACACACACACACACACTTTTATTCATTCTCAGCATTAGATTCAGCATCCATATTAAAGGGGGAGCCTAATATGTCGCTATAGTAACCACATCCCAGTCTGGTGGAGTGACTGGTTGTAAGTTCTTCTATGTAGCCGTTTTCAGACATGAAATCTAGAGAAAATCTGCCCAATTAGGTCAGAAATAAAAGAGTCTTTACTCGGGGGCTGACAGGAGAAACTCTGAAGAAGTTCCAGAGTCTCTTGCTGGAACATTTGTGTTTACACAGATTATCTGGAGTTCAGTGCATGTCTGAAAGCAGCTTGTGAGAGTTACAGCGCAGCAACAAAGAGCTGTCTTTTGGTTAAAGAATATGCAAAGCAGATCACAAGAGTTTGTGACACTGATAATAGCCTCAGAGCCTTGATGTTTTAATCAGAGCCAGCAGAAGTACAGGAACAGTGTTGGCGCTGAAGGCAGAGGTACTGGTGGAAGTGGGTGTATCTGTGTTAAGAAGTGGTGGCAGGAACATGAGGTGGAATGTGTGTGTGACTGACTGAGTCTCTCCCTTGTTTCAGCCCTAACAGAAAGATCACCAGCACAGCATTTGGACGGTGAGTATCCTGAGCTTCCCACTAATGAGCATTACAATAAAGCTGCTGCAGTGAGTCTGAGTGATGGCTCCAGCATTCTGCAGCATGATGTTTAGAGACCTGTGACGGAGGAGCAGCTTCCGAAAACACGTCTTCAGCTGGTTCAACGGGTGATAAAGTGATAACAGTGCTTGTGGTTTCCACTGTGTCCTCTCCTCTCTGCAGTCAGCTGTTCCAGGCCAACCACAGCGTGTTTGGGTCGAGTCAGGGCAGCAGCACAGAGGATCTGTTCACAGACAGCATCGACTCCTGTGATCTTGACATCACAGAGAAAGTACACCCCATTTACCCTTTCTGCACATGACATGGGGCCACACTTACTCAGTTCCACCATGCAGTTTCTGTACAGTATATTCATTTGAAAAAATGTTTGACATTTTGTGAAGAACGCTTGTTCGCTTTCTCGCTGAGAGGTAAATACCACTGTATGTGTGTGAGGTGAATATGAAGCTAAAGTCAGATGATTCTTTTTAATGATCCGGGGTTTTTGATATAGAATTATTTCCTCTTAGCCTGAGGGGAAATCTAACATGTTACGTATAAGCTAGTGGAATTAAAGCAAGAGACCTAAAGCGAACTGAACCTCAACATTGTCACCCTCACATTAGGAGCTGAGACTGTAGGAATTTTTATGATACAAATTGTATAACACAAAAGTCGCTCTTTTCTAGCTGCAGCCTCACGAGCTAAAGGCTTGATTGTTTCCCTCAGGTCAGTTATTTGGAGAAGAAGGTGACAGAGCTGGAAAGTGACAGTCTGGCAAACGGTGACCTCAAGTCGAAACTCAAACACGAAAACACACAACTAGTCCACAGGTAGGAAAAAACACACACACACACACACACACACACACACACACACAAATCACAGGTGCTTTTTTTCTGTTAGAGTAAATCTGAACTCTTTGCTTTGCATGTCTAGATGACCATCTAAGAATAATACACATCCATCTAACCCAATCTCAAGCACTGTTAAACACGGCATATGTTAACCGTGCGTACCGTGTTTGCCCCCCCCCCCCCAGGGTCCATGAGCTGGAGGAGCAGGTGAAGGATGCAGAGACGAGGGCAGACCAGTGTCTGGAGGAGGAGACCAAGAGGCACCGGGAGGCTTACACCAAGATGGAGAGAGACAGAAACTTCGAGATGGACCTGCTCTGCAACAGGTAACCCCATCAGGAAATACACCATCCATCCTATAGACAAGACACATCATTAACCTATTGATTATTCCTATGTTCCACATCATTTACATTTTCAAGATTGAGGGTTCTGTCACACCTGCCTTGTTTAGTCTGCAACAACATACCAACACATCCCAAAAGAATTCCTACTGAAAGATGTGGCCTCGTTCTGGCTCAAACTGAGTCATGGTTCGATTTATTTGCAGCGTGAAAACATTTTTTCGGATCATTTAGACTTTCTGACCAATTCCAGGAAGTTGAGACAGAATAGAAGAAGAAAAGGAAATGGAGGCAGATGGGTCTCCTCAGAAACAGAGTGGATCAGACTGGCAGGCTTGTTTCCAGTCTTTACCTCTGACCATATAATGTTTGAAAGACAAGGACGTTCATTTAGCACATTCAAGTGTGGAGTACTGTGCCTGAAGTTTGTGATGCTGGCTGTAATACAAAAGTGATTTGTGTGTTCCACAGGTTACAGCAGTTAGAAGAAGAAAATGGAGAGATGAAGTTAAATGTGTGTCGACTCAAGTCTCAGACCGAGAAACTGGACCAGGTGAGTGTGGCTCGCTGAAAGGATGATTCTAGTTTATTACTTATGCATTGTTCTTTGTAGTTTCAGCCATCGTTGTTACGAGTAATGAAGTTTAAGTTCATCGCTGAGATTAGAAAATTAGGGAGATGTTACTAAATAAAAGGAGAAAACACAGACAGTTAGTCCCGACTGAAACAAAGCAGATTAGCCAAACGTATTTGTTTCTTTGCAGGAGAAGCAGAGAATGACAGACAAGCTGGAGGACACTAGTCTGAGGCTGAAAGATGAGATGGACCTCTACAGGAAGATACTGGACAAGCTCTGGCACAACCGCCATGCGTTTCAGAAGGAAAAGGAGTCTATGCAGGAGGCAAGGCAATCTATTGAACAAAGAAGTACATGAACAATGTTTAGTAGTTGGAATTAATCTCATCTCCTCCCTGCAGCTGATCGAAGATCTGCGCCGGGAGCTGGAGTACCTGCAGCTGTTTAAGCTGGAAATGGAGCATCCTGGGAAAGGCAAGGGGTTATCGGAGTACAACGCCAAGACCAGGGAGAGTGAGATGGAACATGAAGTCAAGAGACTGAAACAGGTTCACACACACAGCTTGTTCTTCTGTTCTTTCAAGGCTTTCACTTCTCTTCATTCGCATTGTGTGTGGAAAGATATTTGTGTCATTATGAATCTAGGGGGGGACAGATTGGCCGTCACAGTCTGGGTTTTTAATGGTAAAGGTTGGGGTGATGAATAGAACACGTGCGCAGGGTATGCCTCGTCCTTTAAAATGTTTTTTACTCCCCATGGTTTGTCATATTATTCTGGTTTGTTCATCTCGACCTAAGTCCATACAAAGGCTGCAGAATATGAATCGCACAGAGTTTGACTGTGTATCATGTCAGCCATTAAAACGTAGCAGAAAAAGCTTTTTGAGGTTTCCATTAGATAGTTAGCGGGGAATATTGAAACGTCTGTTTTGTGCTGAAAATGAATATCAGCAGATTAGTTGACTTGAATGAAGTCCATCTATTTGTGCCCAGTGACAGTGGATTGACCATATCATCACTATTTGTCAAATATAATTTAGGTAATTTGGGATGGAGACATTTTATATAGCACAATTTTACTTTTAGGTGATGTTTCTCTTCGCCTTTAAATTAGACTGTTTTATTAAGAACCTTTTGATACCTTACCACACCTTCTGGGTTAGCGACACCACACATCCAGAATCTGCTCTCAGTGGATACGTTCTGCATTTGCTCTCACAGGAGAACTACAAGCTGCGGGATCAGAATGATGACCTGAACGCTCAGATTCTCAGCCTGAGCCTGTATGAGGCTAAAAACCTGTTTGCCTGTCAAAGCAAGGCCCAGTGCTTGGCAGCCGAGATCGACAACGCATCCAGAGATGAGGTCAGTCTGCCTCTGGTGGATAGATGTGACGTTTGGTTTTCTTTCTTTCTTTCTTTATATGAATACCCTTCACATGCGTTTGTCTTTCCCGTCTCTTTCAGCTGGTAGATGCTTTGAAGGAGCAGGAGGAGATCAACCTGCGTCTGAGGCAGTACATGGACAAAATCATTCTGGCCATTCTCGACCATAACCCCTCTATTCTGGAGATCAAGGGTTAAATCTCTCCTTCACACACACACACACACACGTCAAACACATGTGTTACTGTAGTTGAGTCGAGCTTCCATTACCTGACTATTAGCCTGATTATTATTATATACTGATAATTAGCTGCATTAGCTGAGTCAGCACAGCACATAATGAGGATGCAGGTGAAGGGCTGTGAAGAGGAGAGAGTGGTCTACTTTCAGAAAGGACGTACTGTGGCTTTCAAATTTCCGTCGTGACTGATTTGGCAACAGCCGTGATTATATCAAGTGCAGTTCAATACTACAGCTCCCAGAATTCTGGGGTCGATAAGCACTCTGTCAGAGATAATGAATCGCAGTTTATGACAGGGAGGTTCAGTTTATCAATTCCTGGGGATCGCTTGAACTCTGAATTTCAAACCTTACAACAAACAATTAGAATGACTTCAGAGAAATACTTACAGTATGTAAATACTAATGCCGCTACACACACACAGTACTGTATTCTTCATCAGTGTCATCATCGCCACAGCGGTTTTCCTCCTGTACCACTAATAATATTGAAACGTCTGTCAGTCACTGCAGAGCTACATGTGCCACCCGTGTTTTATTACTTATCATATTTGAAGCCAGTGAAACTGCCACTGTTCACTTTATCACTTGTAGTCACAGTAGTGTTTCTTCTGATGGGGATTCAGACTGAATCAGAATCCAGATCTAAAGTTTGCATGTTTACTACAAACTGTTGCCAAAGCTGTCTGTCATGCTGCAGGTTCGACCCTCTTGCAGACAGCCATGAGTTTCTTTCACTTCACGATGGTATGAACATCTCTTAGTAGAGACTTGAAATCTGCTTGAATATGACGATTGCTATAATTTGTCACAATCATAATATATATTTAATGGCAACGCTGAGCGGATTTTTCAAACCAATCTACGATTATATATGAGAGTAACGATGGAAGTTGAGAATGAATGAAAACCAGTGGAAGCAACAACAGTCAGGATGTGGTTAGCTTAGCTTAGCATAAAGACGCAGCGGGACAACTTCTCTTAAATTCAGTGAATAACAATTATCTCATTTGAGTAAGTTGGATATTTTCAGTGGAGATATGTTTTGGATCTGCTTCTTGATGAACCACCGTTTATTCCTCTCCCCAGTGCTCCAGAAGTTCAACTGCTTCTCTTGAGAAGTTTGAAACAAAAGATTTGTATAATGGTCAGTGTCGAACTCTTGAGTTCTGCATTTTGAGCTGTGATGAGCTGATTGAGCCTCTAACCCTTTCCTTTGGCTGTTTCAACACAAATGAATGTCTACATGATTAACACGCTACATGCTGTACATCATGGGAATGAAAATGTTATTAACTATGTAATTGAGCCTGTGAGGGACAATTCAGTGCAGTCTATGTTTTCTGAAGGTATTTAAAGGTGCCATCGCTCAGTGTTATACGCCAGAGCTCAACCTTTCTCTGTTTTCATGTACTGTTAAAAAAAAAGACATTAGAAGGACGTGATAAACACCATGCATTGTTGAATAGCCCACTTACAAATTCAACATAATGTGCATGTGTTACCAGCAGGAGCAGCAGAGACGGGAACAATGACTGTAAAAGTTCTGCTGTGTTTCTCAGCTCTTAGAGGAAATGACTTGTGTCATGATCTTTGGTCAATCACAAATCCCCTTAAAGGTATTCTGTGGAATTTTGAGCACTTTGGATGCCACAGGTCAGAGCCTACTGTTGCATGCATGGACAGTAGATGGCAGCGATTCACCAGCAAACAACGTCAACAAAAAAACAGTGATGAAGAAACCATGTAGAATTTATTATATTAGAAAAAAACTAGAATGGCAGTACAGCACATATCCATGCCAAGGACAAACTGTACCCTTGTGAAACTGAATCTATTTTTTTTATTTGGGTCAACACCAAATTTCACACACTAAATATCAGCTCTCAAAACGCCAGATTTGTTTTCACCAGGATCCATAAAGTTCTCTCCCAATCTCCTGGATTTGTCCAGATCTGTGCCAAAATGTAATCGATTTTTCTTGGCCCACGTCCCATTGTTCCACAAAGTATCAAGGAAACCTATTTTTTTGCATAATCCTGCCGTTAAAAAAACAACCAACCAACAGGGTTGAAAACATGCCCCCCTTGGCAGAAGTGAAAATCTTTGCAAAGTTTTGCAAATGTCTTATGGCCAAAATGCACTTGTTTGTATATACACAGTGTATTTTGATGAAAAACACTGAATGTTGAAGTTAATTTTTGTTGAATAATCTCCACAAGGTGTCTTTAAGTCAAAGTGTTCATTCACTGTATCTTAGCCTTTTAAAAATCAGTGAGAAATCAGATTTTACAAATGTTGTTCAAAAATTCTTTCCGAATAGTTTTTAGAAAAATAGAAATTTCTTCATATGACTTAGATGAACTTACTGTAAGTTACCCACTCGCTTAAAATGTGATTCTGCCAGTGTTGTAAGTTATTTTCATTTACTCTGAACCAAGCTAAATATTTAACTGTGCTGGTAGACAAGCTAACCAAACACACCAGAATGTGACTCCACGTGTGTGACGGGGACTGAGCAGTACTGAGCTGCCATAGTGAGCATCATATCATATAACTAATGAAAGTAGATTTGCTCCATTGCACAAACGTGTCACCAAGTGAGTCTGTCCACTGTCATTCGCTTGTTCTTTTACAGGATTTGTGCATTTGCATATGAGGAATTAAAACATATTATTTTGTATGATTTTGTCCATTGCTGTCACTGTAAGTGAACTTTTTTTTTCTGCTGACGTTTGTTTTATTTGGGCACAGTATTTGTGGTGTCACATGTTGTAAATGTACAGAATCTAGTTACTATGTTTGTGCAAGTCATTCAGCTTCTTACAAAGTCTCTTTGAGAGATTTGACACAAAATAACAAAGTATGTGTTTGTAGATTATAATAATCGTGATATAGCACACTTCAAGTGTCATATTCAAAGTATTTACCTGGAATAATGATGTTCACTCAGATTTCTTTTTCTTATGTTATGCACACAGAACTATATGTGATGATGATGTACAAATTAGATGTGTAAATAAAATGAATTTGCTTTGGCATGATGAAGTTGGTTTGGTGGTGTGGTGCTTTCCTCAGAGTATTTTAAACTTTTCCAGTTTATCAACATGTACAACAATCATATGTTGCTTCTGGTGTCTGGTTGGAGTAACCTGCTGCTTGACCCCTGTCGATCCCTCTTCCGCTCTTATTTTTTTGTGTGGTGGGATGATTACTCCTCTACTCAAACTGACGTGCATGGCCCCAGGTTTTCTGTTCGAGTTGTGTGTCTACTTTTAAAGTGGATTAGACCACCTTCAGAATGATCGCTCAGCATGGACACGCAACTTCTGCAGGAGAGTCTGCTCTCTCTCCTATGCTTTGAGGTCATTGAGCCTCCCCTTCAGACACACACTCACACAAACACACAATAGAGCATAGTGGGAGGTGTGGGAATTTGTCCTGGTTGTCCTCTATTAATTTTGGGGAAACACAATTCTGGTTTAGTGAAATATGATTCAACTGTTAACTTAAAGTTTGTTCTCAATTTCAAACAGATTTGGTCTAGAATTACAGGAATTGTTTTTGCATTGACTTCTTTAATTGTAGCAGTTCGAAGTTATCTCAGCGGTTTTGAAAAGGCACAAAATACCAGAGCAAAATACATGAATGTGAGGTGATTCATCCCAGTAGGATAGGGGAAGCCCTAACAGGGTATGTAAACAAACAACATCAGAACTAAAGAGATCTAAAAGGAGAGAAGACAGAAATATCTGTACAAAACTTGCCTGAGAAACAGTGTGGCATGTTAAAATTCTATATTTGCCGTTTGACCTTCTCTTATTTTCTCCATTTTAACTGGGTTTCTTGGATTAAAAAAAATACTCGGTATGCACTATTTTATTTCATTTACAAACACTTACACTTTTACTTTAATTTCAATTTCCACTTATATTTTTAGACCTAACTCTTCATTGTTTTGTTTTCTGTATTCTATTCCATTATATATTGTATTGTACTGTAATCTTGGATCAAGAGATCAACAAGAATTTCAAATGAATTAAAGTCTTATCAGCAGTTTCCTGTTGTTTCACATTTAGATCTTTTTTTTCCCCCGGCGTGTGTGTCATCACACTCCGCTCCAGCAGGCGGCGGTAATGACCTGCATGCTTCGATATGTCCGCCACCGAAACGCTCATTTCACAGAAGAGATATTTTTCTTTTCGGAAGAAGATCCCGACAAAGCGGCCCTATTTCTTTTCATCCAGAAAAAAGTCGAAGAACCCGAAAAGCGACGATGTACGCCCGAACGAATACCGGCAGCGCACACGGAGACTTCCAGGATCGAAACGGAGTAAATTATGTGACATCGACAGAGACCTTCGGTCACTGCTCTCAATTGTTCTGGAAAAAGGATCCCAACGACTCCGGAGTAAGAAAGCCAGCTGCCACCAGCCTTAGCTAGCTCTCAGCTAGCCGCGTCTGACGGCTAACGGGGCTACATTTTACTGAGAGTTGGGGGAATTATTACTTAAGCGTGGCTGCTGAGTTCGTTTAGCAACACCGGGTTATCTCGAGCTGCAAGTTCGCTCCCAGAAGAGCTTCTTTCTCTCCCTGCAAAGCACAACCATCGTCACGCCGAGCGGCTCTCGGCCTAGTTGGCTATTAGCTTCCGAGCTAAGTGGCTAGTACTCGTGAGCTGCTGCACACTGTGTATCTATCACTCCACTGAAATGGTTTGGTGAAGTAAACATTGCACACGTGCTGGTGTCTGGAACCAGGAACACGGTTTGGGGGAATGTGTTTGAACGTAGGCAAACATTGCCGAGCCGATGCTAACACCAGGAAGCTCGGGTTAGCTAACAACAGAGCTCCGTGCAAACACAGGCAGCGGGGTTTTCTTCCCGAGCGCAGCCGCGTGTTTGAAAAGATAACCGGGTGGTGTAGGGAGGTCAGCCCCGGCGCCGTGATCCACGGGGGGGGGGTCGTGTTGGAGCAGCGGGGGCAGAGGTGCACACTCGCGGCCCGTGATATTGTTAGCGAACAGCGCAAAGTAAACACGAGCAGGCTGTCCCACAGGAAGCGGCGGCGGAAGACGCCCCGCGGAGGACTTTGAAAGAGCCCTTTGTGATGCCAGACTGTGCGCTTCATTCATGGTGGCTCTCATCTGCACACACACCCACACGTTCATCGACACCTCCTCACACTTGTTTGTGTCCCTCCAGGTTTGAATGTGGAGCCACCTGACAGGCTACTTTCATATCATCTGCACATGCGAGTCAAAATCTTTTTAACACATCTATGTGTTCCCACAGTGAAGTTCACTCAGAGGGCAGTTGGCATCACTTTTTTCAGGCCTTACTCTAAAACACTCGTTCAACTTCTATTGGTTGTTTACTCACACTTGCTGCATCTTTGAAATGCTTATTTAACCCCAGAGATTTAAATGTTATTATATGATCTGACTAAACAACATTTGTCAGATGGTAGTCTCACACATCTCAGCAATGGGAGCTTCTTCTGGGTTGTTGCATAAAAAGCCACACTTGAATTAAAGGAGTAGATCTTGTAGAGGAGTTGCTGATGGAGACGATGATCGAGTTCATCAAGAGAGATAATTTCCCCTGATTTGTCGTCTTCAAAGTGTGGTACCATACATTTCTTTTGAAATATTTTTTCCTCGCCATTTCACTCGTCTGATACCTACATCACTTTGGCAGAAAGAGCTCAATTATTTGTAACGTTGACATCACATTCACAGCATAAAATGCAAATGAAATGCAGGAAGGCTGCAGGGTGTTGACACCGGCACACATTTTCTCAGGGCGCCAACATTGTCTGTGTGTACAGAACATAAGCCATATAAGTCAACTTCAGCTGTACCTTTCTGTGTGCACAGTTCCAGTATCGCCCTACACCTAATGTCAGCCTTTAACTGATTCATAGTATCATTTAAAAATTGCATTGCTCTGCATTGAGGGTTATTTTGTCCTCTGTATTATCAGGTTGCTTCTGTGTGCCGCGTAAATGTTGTCGAATTGTTCAGTGATGTTTGTCACACTGCAGCACTTTTAGTCTGTTGACAAAGTCATTAAGATATATATATATTTATGCAAAAGATGCAGCAAAATGATCTGTCGGAAATATGGTGCTTGACAACTAACTAATAATATGAGAGAACCTGTTCACCTGCAGACATGTCGGAGCTCTGGCAGGAAGAAGGTTGTGTTTGTTGACGTCAGGGTGACACGGACTAGACTGATGCTCCTCTGGATTTTGTTGTGTAAAATTTTGTGATCAATTCTGATTCTTTTCATATTCATTTTACTAATTGGACCAGACAACATATGTCCACGTGGGTCATGTGGTATGTGCTAATCACTCAGTGAAAGGAGCGAAAGAAAGTGTGTTGAATCAAATTGGAGAATTACTGGTCAGTACTGGAGTATATAAATGCAAAAAGAAAACACAGTGTGCATCCTTATGAAACATAGTCAGAAGACAGCTAGATAGTTTTAGTTGTGTATGGACTGAGTTGCATCACATTCAGCAGAATATCTTGAAGAGAACAAGTATTAGTCTGCTTTCTGCAAATGTAATATAAATTGGGGTTGGGCAACAAATTCAAAATATCATACCACTTCTAAAATCAAAAATATTAGTTTCCAAAAACTGCTAGCTGCATCTTTGCACAGATCAATGACTTGTTGATATTGTTCTCTGCTCTAAAGTATCTCTTTTCATCTCCCACAGCCGAGTTCGACCATCAGTTGGTGTGATCAGCTCCCTTCGTCCTCAGCAGCCCTCACCACCTCCAGTCTCTCCGCAGCGTCACTGTCCACCTCTAGTCTTTCCCTGGACTCCAGAGCGCCACCCCCTGCAACGACGACGGTGGCAGACGACATGGAATCCGACGAGAGGCCATACGTCTGTGACATGTGCACCTGCGCCTACAAGCACGCCAGCTCCCTGCTCAACCACAAGCTCACCCACAAGACAGGAGACTTCAGGTAGGAGCTTGAGACTCATAAGCCGTTTTCAGACTTGAACTCTGGAAAATGTCTGAATAGTTGTGTATGGACGTTCTCTGGACTTTGCCTCTCACATATGGAAGCGGCTGCAAGAGACTGTCTGAGTCAGATGCGTTCACAAGAACAGGACCAGGGAGACGCCCAGAGAGTCATGCACAGTTCCCCAAGTTGTCTGCCCCAGGGACCACGGACAGCTCCACTGCCCAAGCCAGGCGGCACACAGCCTGGCCGCAGCGTCACCAAGCCTGGGACAGACTCCCAGGGTGCGATGCATAGCTCCACTGAGTCCAATTACAATGTTCATTTTGGGTCTCTTCGTGTGTGTTTGGTTACAGTTTTTACAGGCTCTGTCAGTCATTTGCTGCTCCTCTCTGTGTCTCTATCACTTGTGCCGTGCAGTGCCAATGTCTTTACCCAGTCTGAGACTACACATGTGCCTGATGACACTGTTTGTGTGTGAGTGCGTGTATGGTTGTCTGGGTTCCAATGAGAGTCAGGTGCTGTTACCTTTCCTTCATGTTCTGGAACTATCATATAAGCTATGCAATTCTTCAATAGTAATCAACTGCTAGTGATTAATTTTGCCCTGGGACAAACGTGATCACTGTAAGCGGTTTCCAGTAAACTAGAATTTTGTTGGGAGGTGGCGCGAAATTTGACGGAGGCAGCCGCCTCGCAAAGTTATATGAATATGTGGAGTTAAATGCATGTCTGAAAGCAGCTGTAGAAAGTGGGATGAGAGTTTTCTGCCCTCCAGCTTCCCGTTGTTTATAGTTGATGTCAATAAATCTGTGTGGTTGGAAAAGACACAGAACTCCTACCACCTCACTGTAAACAGAGAACATCTGTTGACTGCCTGAAATGATTTTAACATCTTCTCTTCTCCAAATTTCAGATGCGACTTTTGCAGCAAGCCCTACACCAACTACATGTCCCTACGCAACCATATGCGAATTCACGGTCAGAAGCGCTACATGTGCGACCTGTGCGGGAAGGCCTTCCGCCTTGCCCGGTACCTCCGTAACCACCAGAGGATCCACGATGACGGACCCAACCGCTTTGACTGTCCCTCTTGCTGCAAGAGCTTCAGGACTATGCTGGAGCTGGCCCAGCATCGCTGCACCGCTGCTGCATCTAACCAGGTGTGTGTGTGTGAGAAGGTGCATGGAGAGAGGAGTGCATGACACTTGGGATGATAAGTGTGTTGGGCTGCGTTTATATTGCTTATGTCCGAATTCTGGGATGGCAAAGTGTCAATAAACCAATGCAAGAGCTTTCATATTTTCTATCTCGATGAAATGTGATATTTGATTACAGGTTTTGTTTTGCTACATAAATGCTTCCTTAAAGGTCCAGTGTGTAAGATTTAGGGTTATGACCCTTTATATAGAGGCCTCTACAGAGGCCGCCATGTTTTTTACATTAGTCCAGACTGGACAAACTAAACAGCGTTTGAGTTTTTATGACAACTGAAGCTACCACAGGTTCTTTTTCATGTTTGGAAGGAGAGGGTGAGGTGAGGGGTGTTCAGCTGCAACATGCAACTTCAACATTAAATATCACTAAATTCTACACACTGTACCTTTAATGCAATTGATACAATATGTATGAATTCTTCTAGCTGAGAAGATGAACAAAATCTTTGCTTATAGCATGCACTAACCTAATCATCCGTTCCTCTAGGACTTATCTGACCTTTGCTCTTCTTTTATTTTACTCATCTTTTATCCAATTGTACTTAAGACATTCATACAGCATCCAACAACTATTTTCTGTGGAGAGATGTATTGGAGTCGTGCCTCTCCCTGTAGACATTTTACAGATGAATTCTTCACACTTGGGTCAGGACATGCTTATGTTAATGTTAGTGAGTGCCCCCTGTGAAATCGAAGGCCCTCTCGATGTTTGTAAAGCGAAATGGCTTCAGCCGTAAACTGGCATCCTGGTGGATAAGCTTAGTGTTGACCCTTTTCACACTGCACACACATGTTTCAGAGACTCAATTGAGAGCAGCCCTGAAATATATGTTTTAAAATTGCCCATTAACTGATCAAAGTGCCTCACATTGAGGGTCAGACACTGACGAGCTGTGAGATGAGACAGGACAGGTCCATTTGTATCAGACTTCAGACTTATTTGTCACTTGGTTCTCCTGTACTCAGGATAACATCATTCAGTTGTGGTTGTGTCGAGCTGCCTCTTTTCTTGGCTTCACTCCACAGACTGAATGGGCAACACAAAGGGAGGTGTGGCATTTGTTTTCATCAAGGCAACATCTTTTTAAACAGCTATAGTTATATTATATATACTGTTTGAAGAGTGT